AGTGGTCGCCTGCGGTAGTGTTCGTTTTGCTCGGTGTTCCTTGCGCGTCTCTTTAGTGGTGCTGGTAGCTCGGTTGGCAGGGATGTCGCTTCGTGGTCGCGGTCGCGTTCAGGGGTCGAGATGGCCATCTCTCTCACGCGTCCAGATCGCAAACTCATCCACACAACAGTATTTTCGGTCCGTTGCGATATACAGTCAGTCGCTAGCGATTCGCTACTGCATCTGTCTCTCTACAGTCGCTAGCGATTGCGGCTTCGCCCCTACTCGCAGCTGCGCAATGGTTTTAAACAGCCCCACCTTCTGTATATAGGTTAGCGCTAAATGGCTGCTGCAAAACAGTCCATGCAATTGGTTAGTCGTCGATCTAGTGATGACTGATTTTGTGGAGTGCTGCGCGCAGGGGTGAAGCCGCAATCGCTAGCGACTGTAGTTAGAGTGCTTAACACGCTCTGCTCAGATGCTCAATAGTGCCAAGACGTACTGATCGCTAAGTATGTCACGTGATTGCGGCACGGCTGGGAGAATTGAGGTGCGGCGTTCCAGGCTGCATCCTTCAAATTGCTTACTGGTGGGCCGTGCTGCACTCTGCTCAGCTCCTCGGTAGCGCCAAGAGATAGTGATCGCTAAGCACGTAACGTAATTGTGGCGTGGTTAGAAGGATTGCGGCAGGGCGTTTCGAGTCACATCCTTCGTTCTGCTTACTGGCTGTAAGCGTAATCAAGAGTGTAAGCATCCAGGGTCATGTAGCAGTAGAATTTCTAAATAGCATAATTCTGGCTCTTATCGAGCACTCCTATGATTCTGCAGAGGCCTAATGCTAAACCTAATAGAGTTTAGTTTTGGAATTGGGGGGCCCACTCCAGAACCGAATACCTGAGTGAGATTAACACGTTTTATATCCATGTTGTTATCCAGTCCCTCTAGTGGTTAGATACAATAAGAACAACAAATCATATGTATGAAAACGGTCTGAAGTTATATAATGTCTAAAGCTGAACATTTGGATCAGTTTTGAAACGAAACTTGGCTGTTATCCCTGAAGTCCTGCAATTTCAATCCTCTCACTTTAGCCATTGTATCCTGGACTACTTCATCAATTTTGACATTTAGACTGCACGAGTGAACCTCAAACTTCTCGTGGTCATGTCTTCTGTAGTAGTCGTAACAGTCGCTTTTGACCCACCATTTCGTATTCTTTACCATTCCACTCCTATTGCATATTTTATTGAGGCTGATTCCCATAAAAGGATTCTCTGGCCGGGGCCAGAGACAACCCCATCTTTCCATATATTTCATCAACGCGCCAAAGAGAAAAGCTCCACATTGAAAAGAGTAAGATGGATTATGGGAGCAGGAATAGTTGAAGTCTCGATAGACCCCAAGTAAGCGGTGCAATTCAGAGACAACGTGCTCAAGCGCATTGCATCGACTGCAGTCGATACTAGCTAATTAGAGTTAGTAATTAGAACTCGCATCGACGCAAGTCGAGAGCATACATGTGATTTCCTGGTGGATCGGCAGATCTAAGGTTTGAATCCACCCTTCACTTCCTTTGATCGCCACAGCTGTCGCTTTCTCGAATTCTTCGCTCATATGGAATACCCGAGAGATGCAGATCCACAGCATCAGGTCTCGGCAGTAAGAAGATGGGATCGCGACACTACGCCTCACATTGGCAATCCAGTCCCTGATATCACGCTCCATCACCTCTGCGTTTTCGAGCTCGTAGTAATCGACAAGAACTGCGATCTTTGCGAGCATCTCCAAGCTTACAGCAGCCGGAACTTGGCGTGTTCGGACATGGAAAATGTTGAGAAGAATGAGGAGAGCTTCTTCGTTCCAATCGTTGGCTTGGATGTGATACCGTCCGTCTGATGCATTTTTCGAAGATTCAACAAACTCTTCTTTTGTTAATGTGCGCCTAAACCATGGTGAAGCTAGCATTAAGTGGCGAGATGAGACGAGATAGTGAATCTCATCATCTTCCGACTGGGTCGGCCCTGAGGCGGGTTCGGCTAGTTCAATGCTTGGGTTCTCTACCCCACCAACAACTCTTATTGCTAATTTCCGATCTTGAACAAGTCCTTGCTCTTCAGACAAGACTTCACTGGAAAGCTCGGCGTGCTCGCCGTTGCCCTCTGGGACGTTCAGAACAGTGCTATTGCGGGAGGCTCTAGCGCGCATCCGGGCTTTCTTCTCCTTCTTTGACAGCTTCTCGTCCGCCCGATCATCCTCGAACGCCTGAGCATTTATGAGCTGTTTCTCTTCCGGCTCAGGAACCTCAATTTGAGAGGATACGAGCGTCTCGTCCCACGGGGCGAAGTTCTTGCAAGGATTCTTAAGGATAACAATTGTATCTGCAAACGGATCGATCTCATGTGTGACCATTGACATGATAGTGACTGCTTGATGTGCTAGCGGTCATGACATGTACGTATATTTTGTATGACATTTGATCAGGCTGTGCGTTGGCACACTCTTGGAGCAGTCCGGCTGCTTATTCTACGCCTTGGCAGGTGGCTTGCAGCAGGAAATGTCATCATTCCGGATCTTCACCACGATTGGACAAACGCGTTTCACCGGTTTGCGGGGATCGAGATAAGCTATGTAACGCTATCTTGACTGCTCAGATCCTTGATCATCTGATCTAAGAGGTTTATACACGTGGCCACCATCATATATTTTCAGATGCAAAAAGGCCAACACTTGGCAATCAGCTCCGCTAGCCTAAATGAACCGTCAACAGTCTAGACTTATCGTTTCTCTCAAACATCAAACTTGAAAACTGTAGCGTGCCACCCCATCTCCGAATAAGAGACTAGAACTACTCAACACAAATTCAATAAACTCTTATCACGCCTTAGAGTATCATATCTAAGCATCCGTCTAATTGTAATTTCAACATTCGGCAATGGACGAGATCGACATAATACCAGGGCCTGAAACCCCAAAAGAAATAGGGCCGCATCTGGAACTTCTCACCAAAAAAATCGCTATCGACTGCGAAATGATGCAGTCCAATATCGGCCAAGTCCTTGGACGCGTTTCTGTCGTCAACTATGAAGGCAAAACCATATTTGACAGCTTCATATGCTACCCCGAGCCGGTCAACATCACAAACACTGATGAACGGTTTTCTGGGATTCGCTGGGCCGACATCGATCCGCAGAATGGCGCCAGGCCTTTTTCCGAAGTCCAGACTCAACTAAGCGAGCTTCTTCGTGACAGGGTTGTGATCGGCCACGATATTGAAAAAGATTTGAGGGTCATCACTTTGGATTTGGCTGCTCGCATCTTGCAGCTTCCAGGCGTTGCTCGTTCAGCCACTCGTCTCAAGTTCGACATATCTGTCCGCGATACACAAAAGTATAGTGGGTACCGCAAATACGCCAATCCCGGTGCCCACCAGGGCCCTAATCTCAAAAATCTAGCGCTGGGAGTTCTGGGCCGCTCAATCAAGCAGGGTCCTGTGTCGAGTGTAGAAGATGCTATTGCAACTATGGAAATATATCGCAAGGCAGAGGTGGAGATTGATCGGGAACAAGAGCGGTAGGATGATGGCTCCTGAAAAACTTGCGGGAATAGACTTGCACACATAATGTGATTCATACTGAACGTCCAATGATGTCTTTTAGCATCCGACAGTAGATGAGATGAGTCTATGTTGCTTGTACAGTAGCACAACATAGCAGCAAACCGATATACGAATATCGCATGATTCTTTTGTAGGTGAAGTCGTGCCTAAAGGTGTTGCTTATATCAAACTTGATCATCAACGCTGAACTTTAAAGACTTCGACTCTCTAGGCAACCACATCCTACGGTCTTTACGCATTAGCTTTTGCTCCTATAGATCCCTTTTATGTTATGGCAATCGAGATATGCCACACGAGTTGCGCAAGAAGATTTGTTAGTTTGAAGGGTTTGCCAACCAAAGTCGACGCAAAGCAGAAGATGAACCCATATCGCAGCTCGCAGCCGGGCGGGTACACTAACCGATGCGATGCGAATTGAGCGGCCGTGTGCGGTTGTCATCTGCAATCTGGTGAGTCATAGCAGCTAACACGCTGTTCCATTTAGGACGACTTGCGAAACGTAAAGTTCGCAACTCCTAGCCTTCGTCACTATCTATTAATGAACCGTTAAGATCACCAACTATTTCAGCTTAGAGACGACAGAGAGCTGCACGTTCAGGTCATTCATACTAAACAGCGGTGCACAAAAGATTCATGTTTGGAGGCGTGACTTGTGATGCAAAGTCTGGATATCCGCACTAGCCACTGCGGCACGGTGCTTAGTTGTATTACTGTTGACGATTGGACTGTCGCAGTACATAATCACATCATCCACAACATAAGTACTGCATTTCCGAGCAGCGACTAACTTATATGATGCTTTGCGGGCTTGCACATTGGCTAAACAGCACGCGTGCTGCATTATCAGCGATGATCAAGCTATACATCAACATATGCATGTGAGATTCTGTCGTGTAACTGTGGCTCGCCAACCCTCCAGTCACATCACTACACGTTTCCAATCTGAATGCTGATGTCCCTCCCAGCTATTCTTTCAAAACATCAGTAGATTATCCAGGGGGAGTGGCGACCAAACAAGTGGCATGTTTTTACTGTCAGTAGCGATTGCGGCTTCACCGTACACGTAGCTGCGCAGCACACTTGAGCAGCCCCACAATTCGTATGTAACTTAGTGCAAAAAGTCGGCTGCAGAATAACTGATTTGATTGGTTAATCCACGATCTTCTGATGACTGGGCTTTTGGAACGCTGTCCACATAAGTAAAGCTGCAAACGCTAATAACAGTAGTGCCAGTGATTGCAGCATGCAATCACCATAAGAGCCCGATATTAATAAGACTCTCCCCGGAAGGAGGGCTGTGCGGGGTGCGCAGTCTGATCGCCAACTTGTGCTCGCACTTCAACAAATACACACCAACACCTTTACCAAAAGAATACTTCGTAGCCTAGTACAGGTCCACCACTATGAATTCGCGAGCTTGTGATGATAATTTGGTAACCCTCACGCGCGAAAAAATTCTACAGCTTTTAGGAGCCAACATCGTCAACCCTTTCATGCGATCCGAGGAGGAACGCCATCCATGGCAAGTCAGTGACACTCAGAAGCTTGACTTTCCACTTCTTC